TATATATATATATATATATATATAGTAATATAAAATGACAGCGAAGAAGTTCTAGAACCTACAGTGCTAAAGCAGGAAGAAATTGGAATACACCAGACACAACAAATGTAGATACAAAAAAGTCTTTGGACTAAACTGGAGACCTATTATGATTTCTAAAGCTAATATATATATATATATATATATAATGTCAATACATTTTCTAAATTTTCTTTACAGTGTGAACATCCAAATAGCTTTCTATTCAAATATACTCATAAAAATAAAAATAAATATTTTATTGACTTTAGCAATCTCTCTTCTATTATTCAATTCAAATACAATTAATATTTTAATAATAATTGCAATATTCATGTAGATGGCATTAAATTGTGAATCAGATAGTAACACTTTTTAGATGCATCATCACTTAGAGGATGATGTTGATGCAGTTGACATGCACTCTTATTCTTTTAAAATAATTTATTATTCAAGTACTTGAAGAATTTTGTTAAGTTAAGTTCTTATTGTTGGTTTATTGTTTGTTTCAATATGTAGCATTGGACACTGGTACAATAGTCATTCACTTCTGCTTATGGTATATAAATAGTTCTTTCGCATACACGTGATGTTTTTAGACTTGGGTTCATTTTTCTTTCTAAGTTTTTTCTTTACTTTCTTGCACTGATATGTTGAAATTTTCTGCTGGATGGGGAATGTTAGGGTCTTGTAAAACAAAATTAGCCGTATTTCACTGCCCTATTTCAGTTACAGCTCTAGAAAACATAATAGTTTTCCATTTAGGTCTATTGACTTTCTTATGCCTACTTATATATTGGCGATTTTGATAGTTCTTTTTAAAACCCAATTGAATTCATTCTTAGCTTTGGAGAAATTACAACTTGTCTATTATTATATTATTTTATTATACTATATATATATATAGAGAGAGAGAGAGAAAGGGAGAGAGAGATAATATATATATATACATATCTATGTATATACTAATACATATACCATACTAACTTGCTTTATGGTGTCTGTTTCTATGCTATTAAAAATATGTCAATAATATTTTTCTCAAACTTTCGGTTTCTATCCAACTAAATTTAAAAGCTAGTTTTTAAATATATATATATATATATATTAAATTTCTAATCCAATTAAATAGAAGAATAAGTTAATGTGGTTTTTGTTCAAATATTTTACGTAATAAAAATTTGATTTTTTCAGATTAACCAAAGATAAACAATTTTACCGGTTTGACTTTTATTGCTGTACTTTTGCCAGATACATTTATCTAAGAAACTCCCGATTAATATATAAAATAATAATTGTGTCTTTTCTTAAATAGCTTAAGTGCTTAAGTGATTTCTATTACTTTTTATTGTATTCGATTTGGTATAGCCTATTGTGATTTTAATATTATAGTTAGGATGCTAACTTTTTTTTTAAAAAAAAATAAAAATATAAATTTGGAGGGGTGAGGGAGTAGGAGGATTTGTATTGCAATCTTTTCATATCTTTTCATGTATTATTCTTATTTATTTCCTATTTTCTCTTGTAATTGTTATTTTGAAATAATGTAGCTTTCCAATTATCTGATTTTTTTTTTCCGATTTGTTATAATATTCATACTTTAAAGTACACATTCCATGACTGTAAACCATTTTATTATTATTATTATATGTGGTATTGTAATTGGATTTCAAAATTTTTATTGCATAGCTTGAGCAAATTAAAAAACTTAACTTAATTATTATCTAGACACACACTCAAACTAAAATAAATTTGTTTCGATCAAATTATATTATTATAAAGATTAATTTCATTTAAATGTCTAAAATGTAAGAGATACAATTCTTAAAAATATTCCAATTAAAAACTAATTCAGGTTAGGATATTTTTTTTTTTTATTTCATACATTATTAAATTGTATTATTACAAATAATATCCTATTTTTATAGAAGTTTACAACGATCAATCTTTTGTAAACCGTAACTTAATATAGTTATCATAGTTATTTTATATATCTTTATTTAGATATATATAATTATGTCCCCTTACACAATTAAATATTTTTCTTTATTTTTGAAGCTTAATTCTTTCTTTGCACTTCCTTATCAAAGTTAAATATTGAATTTACTTTAAATTTGTACTAATTTGTACTAAATTTGTACTTTACTACCTTATAGATGATCTGTGACCCTCAGCTCTTAAATTTATATTAGTGTTAATTTTTAAAATTTTAGAAAAACTTAGAATTTATATTGTAAAAAGTTTAACTAGTTTTATTTTAATGAAAAATTTCGAATTGATATTACTTTTTCTTAACTACAGATGAAAAACTTGTGTAAGGTATTAGCCCGTGGGTGATGCCTTACTTCTAAGTTATCTTCGTGACCTAGAGGTGTGGGAGTGAATAAAGAACCAGGCGTTGCCATGATCTTTTTATATCTTGATTAAGATCTTAACTTAAACACTATACAAAGCTAATAGTTATATTTAAACTTAGAGGATCTGAGGTGAGAAAACACACAATACGTATTACCAAATAAGCGCGACTTTAATAACTATATTCCTGTCTATTTCTAATCTCAACTTATACACAAATCCTAATAGATAACAGAATTATCCCACCTTAATCTCTTGGTTAATAACAATCCTCTCGGATCCTAAATATATTTTCTTGATCTCGCGTGGAATAGTATCCACCTTGAATTGATCGTTCTGTCACGGATCGCTTCACACTAGAATAACGGCTTACTTCTCTGACTTCAGTTTACGCGCTAAAACTCAGACTAGCATAATCACTTTCCAATAGGCCATACGCTTACGTTAAACTTCTGCTATTTAAAAGGTTCCTAATTTGCATACTTACGCTTCGTTTCTGGATTTGGTCGGAAAGAATTTGCCTTTTTCGGCCCCAAAGAACCCAAAAGGAGTTTTTAGTGGAAAACGTGATGAGCCCGTCACACTTGGAATTCATTAAAATTATAATGCTAAAATATGTAATAAATTATAATTATGTAATATGTATATAATGTGTAATGTATGTAATAAATTATAAAATGTAATTTTTATATAGTGTTCCTTTTTAAAATTTTAGGAAACTTAGAATCCATATTGTAAAAAGTATAACTAGTTTTACTTTAATGAAAGATTTCAGATTGATATTACTTTTTCTTAACATCAAATGATAAATTGGGAATTAATTAAAATTATAATGTTAAAATATGTAATAAATTATGTAATAATTTATAATTATGTATTACGTAATAAATTATAGCCTTATATTCGATGTTTTATTTAACTCTCTAACTCTTTGAAATGACTTTCAAGCTGCCCATGTTTCACATTTGTTGAAATTAGTATTTATTCAAGCTTGACCTCCTTTTATTCCTTCAGACAGTTTGGTGTAACCCCTTTCCATGACAGACCTCAACTTCAGGAAACTCCTTCAACCAGATATCACTGTCTTCTGGTGGTTTGGAGCTCAAAATTTGCATAAATCAAGATCCTAGACATGTGTTTTCTCTGTTTGAGACTTAACTATTTCTGAGTGAGTTAACACTCAAGTTTGACGTAATTATTCACTATTATTAAAAAGTGCAGACACTATTTATTATGTTACAGGTTTGATTCCTGAATTTAGGATTTTCTTTTTACTAGTAAGAAATCAGAATTAGTTTTATAGACAATTAAATGTTGAATGTGTCTTCCTTCAAATCAGATACCAAGTAAAAAAACTACGTCAAAAAATTAGGAAGAGTAGAAAAACTATTACGAGTGATTTTTTTTTATCAGAGTATAAAGACATAATTGTTAATTTACATTCTACTTTAATTGTCTTTCTTTTATTTATTTTTTTGGTACAAGTTGTGTGTGTTCCATGGCAAAAAACTTTCTTGTTGCTTACAAAAACTTGAATTCTAAACTTATTTAGTGCCTTTTTTAGCTTAAAAAAAATTAATGGTTAAAATTTATTTTTTTCATGGATTAAGAGGTTAAAAGAAGCTTATGTATATATTTTTTTCAATGTAATCTCATTCTGTAAAACCGTATTTTATTCACAATAAAGAGATCTAAAACTAAATGGTTAGGGTTTTTTATAAAAATTTTTTAGCTAAAAATTTAAGGAAGCTACACTTAAAAAAGACATCGTTAGCCTGCAAAGCCATCTGGAAGAAACACAATTAACTTATTAAAACTACATTTTTTCACACATTTAATGCATTATAGTAACACGGCAAATATTAGCAGAAATTAATGAAATATTTTCTTCAACCAAGTTTTATTTTTAGAAAAAAAAGCACTATTCGTTTGTATTAAAGTGTTGGTACATTTAATTTTCTTTGGTAAAAGCCACACTTGCTTTAAATTCATAAATTACAAGCGGAAAGCGAAAGTACTACGGTACTAATGTCACGAATATTTTCTAAATTCTTAGCTATTTATTTTTTTATATTTATAAGTCTCAAAAATAAAACTAGACTCACAGAAAAATGATAAAATTCACCTATTTATATTTTAAAACCAACATTTCATTTTTATATGATGTCATAGTTATTTGCTCTAAGAGATACGTCTGATCAAATATATCTGTGGTTTCTTCCTAATGTTATCTGACAAATAATCCTTGCCACTGTTACAAGAGCAACGTTGTCGTGATGTATTAGCTCATAATTCTCGATCTGTTATTTACCCAAAAGTGGGCCATTTCTCAGAAGCGCAAGAAAACTAAAAGAGATGAACTTAAACAAAAGATGCAGATGAGTTAACAAAAAGGAATTTTTTCAAGGAATATAATTGTGCTAACTATATGATTCCATTATTAAAAAGAAGAAACATGTGGAATTATTTTTTTTCAGAAGACTGGCCATTTATAAAGTTTATAACCTAAGGCAAGTGTTCAAATATTTATAAAATAATTTAACTTTGGTTAGCGAAATTTTATTACTAATCATATTGTTTAAAAAATAACTCATTTTCTTGTCATTATGATCAGTAAAACACCTGACGCCCCTCCAGTATAGTGGATATGACTCTCGGCTTGTAACCGAGTGGGTTCGAACCCCGAGTAAGGCATGGTTGTGTTTTCTTCGGGAAAAGAAATCAGACTTTCGCCTGTAATGGATTCCCGTCTTGAATGGAAAGCAGCGCACTCCTTCTAGTCATATGTTTGGATCATCATCTGTAATAAATGACTATATTCTTCTATTTGTGTATTGTACGTCTCTGTTCTTCTACTTGTATTTCATATGTATCCCAGGATTAAAAAAAATACACCACAGCAACAACAGTAAAACACCTATTAAGGGACATGAAAAGGTAACAAATTCATTCTTGGGTATATGGATACATTATATTCATTATTTCCTGTTTTATCTATAAATCTGTTTCCTTTTTATTCACTGGATAAAAAGTTAGTACCGACTATTTAAGTATAAGATTCAATTCATTTACTTATTTTGGTCCTTATTAGAAATAAGTACTACAGAGCCAATAAACAAAGGGTATTGATTGCATTATTTAACAATATAGCGTGACTGTGGGACAGGTCTCTAAATTTCTCGTATAAATTTGGTGTTTTTTTTGCATTAAAGCAGCAATAAGAAGTAATGTGTCATAAAATGATAAGTGTTCTCAAATTAAATAACGTTCGAAACCGTGATTTTACAAAAAACATATAAATGAATAATAATTTTGAGATATATTTAGTGAAATGAATTTGAATATACATAAAAACTTAAGTTAAGAATACTATTGTAATAAAAAATGTAAACATGAATTTTTTTTAGCAAAAATTGAAGGAAAAGAACGATATATATTCAAACCCTTCTTTTTTTATGAAAAAAACTGCTATCATAATAAAACGTTTCCTATAAATATCTAAGAGTTATCTACAGAGCCTAAAATAGGATATTTAAAAATAAATCTTATTATTTTAAGAGTTATCATCAATTGAAATAATAGCCGGTTTTTGTTTGTTTGTTTGTTTGTTTGTTAGTTTCTTTACTTTGATACATTATAATACGAAAAAAATCCACTTTTCTATAAATCATTATAATTCAAAAATTCTAGTGAAGGATTTGTACAGAAGTCTTAGCTATATATATACAAAATATTACTACAGTAGAAGTACTTTTCATAAACTGAGAACGTTTTGTTTATTATTCTTTCTTCTTTCTTTTTGCCAAAAAACTATTTTTTTATAGTTTTTTTCTTGTAATGATATTTTTAAAACAATTTTATATGTATATTTTAATTCAAGTGACACTAAATGTAAAAACTAAAAAAACCCATTTATATGCTTTTTTAAAATCACAGTTCCAAACGTAGCTAGATTCCTTAATATTAGTTGCTATATCAATTCTATTAATATATTTCTAAATTTTCAAATGTAAGACTTATTTAAATTTTTGAATTGTGATATGAAAATATTAGCAATTTGATTTAGGTGTTTTTGGGTAAGGTAATTTAAATTTACGTGTAATTACATCAAAACAATTCTGAATAATCTTCCCCTATATGATTAATGAGAAATATACGAAAGGATCTCTTTCATATAATTCCTTCTCGTCCAAGAATTAATTAAAACTCACTCTGCACTGAATGATTAATTGTGTTCAATTTCTCATTAGATATATATTATGCTCCATTCTTTTACTTATAAGTAGTCATTTACATCCATTTCAAGGAATCAATTGCTTCTAAAAGGCAAACCTTTTTCAAGTTAGAAGATAGACCGAAAAAAAATGTCCCATCTGTCGTAACAAATATCTCATGCATGATTATATGCAAATTACTAAAGAACATAATTAAATAAACTATAAACTTTCTGTCTACTGATATTTGTGGTAAAAGGAAATAATTTTTCCATTTATTACTTCCAAATTATGCAACTGCTTACGTTGAGATTAAGACGTTATTAGACGTTTCCGAATATAAGTTTTAAGGTCCTTATATATAGAAATAATTTCCATGTTGTTTTTCTATCTACCGTTCTTATTTCCTCAAAAAAAAAGTCATATTTTCTAATTTTTCATATTTCGACATGCACGCAGTTATTTCCATCATTTCCAGTGAATTAATTTCATTCAAATGAGTCTGTTTCCATTAATTCACTTCCTGCCAGAATGATTTTTTAAATTTAATATTTTAAATTGTATGAAATTATACGAATTAAGGCAAACTTGTTTCAATTTGAACAAAGGATCATGTTTCACTCATTTTAAAGGTAACTTTTGTGATGATTTTTAAATGCTTAATTAAAGTTGGTAAATAAATAAAATTGCTATCTATTTCTTTTAGAATGAAATGGATCAGATTTTATTATTTTGCTCTCTATGTATTTATATATGCATGTATGTGTATGTATATATATAGGAAGAATGAAGTGAGTAAAAGTGTAAAACAGAGTAAACGTGGGCTATTGGCCATGGTTTTAAAAAATAATATTTTACATTATAGAATATCTAAATACATAGAATTTCGATTAATCCCATATATTTTAGGCAGTTTGTAAGTCGGTAAAAATGTTGGTAAATCCTTCTAGCATAAGTACAATATAGTACTTCAGTGCTTATATTCTGAAACAAATACAAATAACCTATATAATGTTTATATATTATGTAGAGATAAAATGTTTTTTGCTTTTCTTCCTTCTAAATATTTAGATAAGTTTCCAGTATATTCAACAAATGGCTTAACAGCAGCTTTAAAAAATCTTAATAATATTTGGAATTAAACCTTGTATTGTAATGCAAATAGAAATCAGAAAAAATTATTATTGTCCTGATTAGGAAATCTGCACTATATTACATGAGTCTCAAATAAAAGTAAATAAGCCCTCAACCCAATATCCAAGTGGCTTTTTTTTTACAATTAATCTGCTTATAATGACACAGAAATTTATAAAATACCATAATATTTAAAATTAATTATGGAAAAACTCCTACTGTGCATTGTAGAACGGAATATTAAGATTACACTGCATGTAATTTTAGTAAACGGGTCCAAAGTACCTCAGAACAAATGAAAGACTAGTAATTCAACACTTCTTTAAAGGAAGATTAATACCCCATGAAAATGCCAATGACTTTCATAGGAACATGTAAGCCAGTATGAATGAAGAAAAAGATAAAAGTTAAAATCTCTAAATTATCTAAAATGGTATTTATTTTAAATAACGTTCTCAATATACTTTGAGCCTGTATTCTATACACTTGAAGGATATTTCACACCTGTATATTATAAGCATTTATATATCTCAGTATATGCTTATTTATTTATCTTTGGCATCATAAAATTGCATCAAACTTATAAATATAAAGTTATATTAAACATTTATCTTTATTTATCTTATTTACGATAAATGTAAAATAGTTTGAATCATAATAATTGGATTATTTCTGCTATTTGTTATGTTATAAAATATATTTCTATGTTTTTGCATGCGTAAAAAAACTTCAAATATTTATAAAATCTTCGCTGTATTCTAATAAATTTTCTATTTTTATATCCTAACTGCCCAGAATATCGATGAGAATAATAGCATATAATTTGAAAAAAAAACTATAAAAATTCATAACGAAATTTATCAAACTTACGTTACAAAATTCTGAACTTCTTTCCTTGTACATTTACTGGAAAATAATGAATACAAAAACTTTTTTACGTTTGATCAAATTATAATAACGCTTTTAAAGTGAAACATGCAGAATGCATTCTTGCCCATGTCTCAAATGAATAAAAATACCATTTTAAAATATTTGGAGCGTTAATGTTAAAAAAAGTGCCTTTTTATTTTTAAGTATTCACCCATCTTTTTTATTTTTTTATTACAAATATTAATTATATTTTAGAATTTATTACTTTTTTATATTAGAAACTTATATTATACATTTATAAAAAGAAATGGAATTTTTTTTTTTTTCATTTGCATGTAAAGATTTAGTTTTCTGTTTATTTCAAAAATATATTTAAATTCAAGATACGATGCATTATTATTAGAAATGTACAGTTTGAAATCATCATTAACCCCACACATCCTGACTGTAATTTTTATGAAGCATTTTATATTGTTTGAACAACATTTTCTCCTATTTTTCTTCATACTTTGATGCAATGTTTTTGTAAATAATTTATTTTTGTAAGTTTTTTGACAAAAATTATCGTTATGAAACCATCCGTTTTGTACTTTTCCTTATATCAACATATGGTATAAAAAAAAGCATGCACAAAAAAGTATTACATTTAAAAAGCTATATCTTTAGAATTTATTTTTAAATTAATAAAAAAAAAATATCAATTCAATAAATATTTTCAGCTGATCAAAGTATCAGTCCCTATTGTGTGATCAAATTTATAATCACCCTTTTTTTTTAAAAAAAAAAATTCCCCATTGAATTTGTAGAGTTAGGTACTTAAATGATAAGGAGTTTATGTATAAATAAAAAGAATACGTATACCAAGTAATTCAGAATTTCTTATTTTGATATTTTTTTATAGATTTGATATGCAATCCAGTTTATCAGTTTGAACATTTAATTTGCATTTGATTATTCTTAAGCGTTGGCAATCAACAAGCAGATATGGCTTCTAAATGTTTGCCTTCTGTGACTGATTACTGAATAATTATGCAAGGTGGTGAAAGATAAAGGGATTAAAACTATCTATTAACGTTTTTTTTTCAATCAGAAAAAAGTTTCATTATTCATTTTGGTAGTATAATCCTCACATCATCATTATCTTAGTAATGGGTAATGCGAATCTATCATTTTCAGACACATAGATATTGCTTGTTAATCAATTTGAAGGTACATTTTTTAATGTAGAAATTAATGTAAGAAAGAATGCCAAATTTCTTCGAAACCTTGGCAACATTTCTTTTTAGTGTATTCTTTAGAAATGTAAAGAAAGATTGACGTTACATTAATTATACTTTTTTGAAAAAAACACTCTAAAAACTTTTGAAAGTTTAATTGTTTAGGTTTTCTTTTTTCTAGAAAAAAGTGTGGAAAGTTTAAATGTAAAGCAAATGATATAACTTCAGAACACCATACATTAATTCAAAGTATTTAATG